TATTGTGTCTGTCTTGAGTGAGTATGGACACGCAGTAAAAAAGAGGTTTACTTAAGTTTGACTGAAGTTATCCGAAGTAGAGTCGATTATAGTGATGAGGCCTCGTGAACCGCACGATGGGCTAATCTTGTGCTGTCAGTCACGGACTTGTTTGGAAAAATCACGAGACTTTGCTGTCCACAGTAGAACATTATGGTTGTTTTAATTCCGTAGGCTGCTGAAGACACGATAGTTCCGTTCTTTACGGGATTCATGAATCCTCTCGCTCATCAGTAATTGTCAATAAGAAAAGTGTAGCCTGTTTGCTACTTCCCCATTCCCTCTTCCACGAACGGCAGTATAACCGGCTTTGCAACAGGTAGAATCAGTTTGATGAATGTGAGACATTGAGTGCCACGAATGTCATTAGTACTAAAAGCAGAATTCACTGAAGGTTCACAACCGTCACCTTAAATAGACGGATGGCACTTATTAGAAGAGCCCAAGCTCCACCCTGTGTCCTCATCTGCTTGCCTGGTGGGGTTTACTTTAAGAGTGGATGTTTTAAAATCTGTCACGGGAAGGGGCTCCTGTGTGATGTAGAGTCTAGTGGTTTCAGTCTTAGGTGAGGTGCTTGAATGGTTTATATTTGAAATGTAAGCTTTGCAAGTCACCCAAGCCAAGAGCTTCTACTGAACCACTGAATAAACAATGAAATGTAATGTAACCTGTGTTCTGTTACATAATATAGTTAAAAGTATACCTGTTTTTCCTCCATCTGATTGGTTCACCTGTTAATTCAAGAGATTGGATGAGGTCAGACCCCTTCTTTGTCCCAGAGCAATATGCATATCCATTAATGGGCAGAGGAGCCAAGCAGAGAAAGTGTTATCAGATGAGGGAGAAAAATGGATGGACTGCCCCTACACCTCTGGAATGCTCCCAAAGGGGGTGTTTAATAAAAGCATTGTGCCAGTTGGTGCCAGCTCTCCTCACTGCAGTGTCTTTGACTCCGCAGCGAGATCTCTGAGGCCACCTATGAGAAGCTGGCGGATGAGACACTGGATGCCCTGGCTGAATATTTTGAGGACCTGATGGACGAGTCTTTTACATCCACGGACTATGATGTCACCTTTTCTGTAAGTTTACATCCCATTTTGTGATGTTTTTAAGAGCAAGTTCATGACGCGTCATTTCAAAGTGTGTTTCAAGAAATGTCCACAAGATGTAGCTGTTGGCCTATAAATAGCAAAAATCTATATACATAAAAGCAACCCTATAGAAAATTCATTATAATATAATTCAAGAAAAACCAACGAAAGAGGATCTTTCAGCTAACATATTTCCCCTCTTACACCTGTTGTGAAACACTTTTAGGTATTTTGGGCACCTGAACTGCAAAAGAAAGTCTAAGTATAACAATTGTAACATAATCTGGTCAGATTGGAGATGCAATTTGTCTTGAACGGAGAACATAAATATTTAAGGAATTTACAACTGAATGACTTCATTCACGATATTTAAAAAAAATGGCATTTAAATGCATTGCATGAACAATGATGGAGGATATTGATGCAAATAGCGAAACACAGCATATATTGTTAGATAAACTGCATTTTACATCACTTGCAGTGAATTAACCACAAATGAAGTAGTACTTCACCGATGTAAATCATGACTGTGCACTTGTCTTGAAATCAAGGAGTGGCGCTGTGGGTCCCATTACAGCATCCGAGGCGAGGTCGCGAGATGAAATAATCAGCATCCACCCCATTTGTCAGTGACACTCTCAGGGCAGTAAACACCCAATCAATAGCCAGCTGTCATCTGCTGAGAGAGAGAGAGAGAGAGAGAGGGAGAAGGAGAGACAGTGGGACTGTGTGTGTGTGTGTGTGTATGTATTCTGAATACATCCCTGCTCTGCAGCAGCGTGTCTCAGTGCGCAGCTTTAGCTTGGAGGATTTAGTGCTGTTGTGGAGAGTGAATAAGAACAGCACACTGCTGTTTGAGCTCACCTAAATTACAAACCGAGTACAAACTTGTAGCAGACCGGAACGTTCTCTGATATCAATTACTGAACAGCAGCAGCGGGTCTTCCGGTTCCACCGCATCCAGGGGCCTGGCACTTGCTTTTCGGCCCCATTTCGGTATTGATTTCTGTCCCAGTTTAGTACATGCAATTAGGGCTGTCCAGCAGGTGGTCTGGCTGGGCCCGGCGGAGTGAGACCAAGGCATCTGTGCACTGTGACTCTGTCCCATATCTCTCTGACCCACAGTGCCACTATTAATTTTTCAACAGCAGTTTCAGCAATCAGGGGAAAAAATAAGCCTCTTGATCATGTAAAGTGGGTTGCTCTCTCCAGAACTCTGTCAAAACAAGGCAGGGGCATTGAGGAACTGCTGAAAATAATAATAAAAAAAAAACATAACAAATGAAATGTGGAGCAGCATTTGCCAGTGTGTTGATAAACCAGCTACATTCTGCTAACCAGGTTGTGGATAAAATCAGTGGAGTGAGCTGTTGAGGAGCTTGCTTTGGCTGATCAGACATTGCCCTGAGGCTCCAGTTTTGTCATGGCCCTTGGGGAGGTATTGAATGGGAAGAGGAGGGAAAGAGGGCACATTATCGATGCTGATTATGTGGGTACTTCATTGACCCTGACTGGTAAGACTGAAACCGAAAGAGGCACTCAAACATAGAAAGTCGGTTGCGATTATGTTCTCCTGGTGATATTAATGATATTTATATATTTTAGAACTGGAAGCCAGTGGTTAGCTTGGATCCCTCCTTCAACCCATTTTACCCTTTATATTCCCATCTTGTCTTTGTTGACACATTGGTGATCAGTGCTCCTTGGTCTATTTTTATTTTTATTTTCTGCAATATTTTCTTTTACTCAATGCCTCTGTCTCCACTGGAGAGAGCATTTTAAGTGGTCAAGAAGCTTCTTTTTTCTCTGGTTAAATGCAGGCTGAAAGGTTAATATGTGGATCAGAAACATGGGACAGTGTTCTAGTGCACGAGTCTTAGGCTGTCGTACTCTGCCAAACCAAAGTTTTTAAAAGATAAAACAACAGAGAGTATACTCAAGATCCCAACACTTCAGCAACAAATGCCTCTGAAAGATCATTGGCCCTGGTGAAGAAAAAAAATCACACATCTAGGCAAAGTGATTGACCAGAACAGATCAGTCTGATGAAAAGCCGTTCAGACTTTAGTGTTCTCTGTTATTATGCTAACTACAAGTACACAGAGGAGCAGCTGTTTGACTGGCCTGGATGTAAGTCAGAAGAGGAGATGAATGCACCAGACATCAGTCAAAAACACAGCCCTATGTGTTCTAAGCTCCGCCCCTTACCATTCCTCCCAATGACAGCTCTGTCATAGGACATATGATGGACTTAACCTCATGCCACACCATTAAGAATCCCGGCTGAGCCTGCACTGCTGCCTGGGTGGAGGTGGACTGATTGACAGCTGTCATCTGGAAGACTGATAACCTGACTCCCTTCCCCTCCACCCCCATCTCCACTGTCTCAGGCAAAGCTCTAGAGTATTAAGAGTGGGATAACAAAGGACAGGGCTGAAAGTGACAGATTATTTTTTGTTCTAGTTTGCCCTTTTTCACCTAAGGGAATCGGAGACTAAAAGAAAAGATCCCTGTGAAGTGTGTGCTGGCAGGTGCCCTTGAGAAAGTGCCTGCACCCTCCCCGCCCCGCCCTTTCCTTGCTTTGACAAGAGGGTGAACTGATTGGTGGGTAGGTCATTCACACTGTCAGCTGTGCCTCCAATAACCAGTCAGATTAGTGTCAGAACATCCACCATAGTTCCTCAGTGGGGTGCGAGGATTCTATCATGGAATGAGGGTTGGGGGGGGCAGTTGGGGCACTGCCTTTCAGATTTCTGGGGGGGATAAAAGTGCCAGTGAGATCTATAACAGTCTCGGCAGGCGCGCCACTCCCCGGAGGCCCGTGGGGGGGGTGATTAATGCTACCGCAGTTTTTTAAATCATTCGGCAGGACAGGTGATGTCCCGTTCGAGCAGACGGATTGGGAGATGTTCCCGGCTTGGCAGCAAACCTTTCTGTCGGCCGCCGCCAGAAAGCCTCACAAAGCGTAGCCGGCGCTGACGCCCCCGGGCTCATTTGCAGAAGGCGAGCCCAGACCTCGCCGTGAACCCCCTTTAACGAAAATGAGACACACAGCGTAGACACCTGCTGTACAGCTGACGTGTCGGAGGACACTGACTGTAAGCTGTGTTCAAGGGCCTGGATCCTTTATAGCTTCAGTTGGGAAGGTCTCAATGCCTGATGTTTTCTTTCTAAATGCATTGACTAAATGCATGTATAGTCACGGTTGGGAATAAAGATTAGTTTTTTGTTGTTTTTAACAGGGTAAGTGAAACACTCTTATAGGGCACATACAGTAGTTAACAGCAATTGTGTACAGGTAACCTCATACTATAATTATCTAACAGTACAGTGAAGACATGTAGTGTATTCATGACGTCTCTTTTGGGACTGGAGCTATATCCAGCTTTGACAGGCATAAGAAGTATGTGACCTTGTCGTCACCCAATATTAAGCAATAGAGAGTGCCGAGGAGATAGAAAGAGCTGAATTACCACAACAGTCACTGGCACCCATTCTAGACCAAGCTTAATTCAGTTTATTTTTTATTTCTTTGCAGGCAACCTTAGCACGGACAAAGCTCACATTGTTGCATGCTTCATTTGTCACATGCACCATGTCACAGGTGTCTGTGTAGCACTGTGACTAAGGAACTGGGATCATAACAAAAGGTTCAGTTTCAGAGTGGACTGGAATACCTTTGAACAGAATACCTGAGTCCCTAAATCTGTTTAGCTATACGAAAGGATGAGATGTTAAGATGTAAGTTGTTGGTCTGTATCAGTACCTCTGTGAAACCAGCATTCTAATCTGACAACTTTTTTATACATTGTTCAGTAAACTGTTTATGCATTTGGATTTTTGAGGGATTTTTAAACGCTGCGACAGCAGTGGGCCAGCTGGGATTTGAACCCATGACACTCAGGTTTGAAGGTCCCGCTTCATAACCGCTGCATCTAGTGGCTCAGTGCTAATCTACTTTTCTTAATCTACTTTAACGGGTAAATGGATATTAATTAAGGCTTTAATGGCTTGATTCGCAGCATGCCGAGGCAGCCGGGGGGTTGAGCGCCGGCCCCATAGAAATGGAAATTGCGTAAAAATTAATTCAGCCAGAGTGCCCGGGTACGGTCAGTTACTGGAAGTACAGTATTCAAGTTATTTATTGTTAAGGGAAACTCAGATAGATTCCAAAGGCCGGAAGCCAATGCACTCTGCTTCGAAACCGCGCACAGGACGTGCTCGGCATACTTTGTACCGTTTAAACAGCCAGTTCCAGGACATGAGGCTTCACCATTGCACTGTCAACATTGTTACGGAGATTAAATCAAGAATTATGGGGGGATGGAGAAACTGAAACACTTACCTAAGCCCCTGTTTGAGTGGAATGACAGTTACTAATGTCATCAAGTGTAATGAGCTTTCGTTTGTAGTGTGATTAATTGGTTTGCAAGGAAAAAATTAAATAAACCTGTTTCAGGAATTACAGTATGCAGTATTATGCTAGGGCATATCATCAGACATCATTGAATTATTTTTCTGAGGTGTCCTGTAATGGGGTAAATTTTGGTGTACAAATTTAGACCAAGTTACTGCTGTTACTAGATAGGAGTGTAGCTACTTGTTATGCACACGTCAGAGGTCTGGGTAAAATGGAGAATTTTGATCCACCAATCAGCAATGCTGAAAATTGTGTAACGTATACTCCTGTTGAGTTTTGTTTTGTTTCCAAATTAGCAGATGAGTCGGAATTTGGATTTCATTCCAGCGTGAGGCATATGGGCTCATTCCATTTAGTGTTGCCAGCCAGTCCAGCCACAATTGTAAAAGGCACTTCATTCTGTGTTTTTTTTTCCTGTTTTTTTTCCCCTGCCAGAATGGAGTCCTGACTGTGAAAGTGGGCGGGGACCACGGGACTTATGTCATAAACAAGCAGACGCCCAACAGGCAGATCTGGCTCTCTTCTCCAACGAGGTGGGTGCATGCGCAGTTTGTACCTCACACTATTGCCCTCTCCGGTTACAGTTCATTAAAAGGCACCGAGGCTAGTTCCTGGAAAATGTGAACAGAGAAAAGCTGGTCAGTCAGACAAACCAAGCATTAACAAATCAGCCCTGCCAAAGCATTTAATGTTTGCTTTATATGTTTGACATGTGCAAACCAAATAATGTTCCTGCTGTTTATTTTGTAATTCTAGAAAACCTGAAAACTAATTGATATCAATTTACAGTTGTGAAGTTAAGTACCTTTAACCCAACTGGATGTGTCTGGTACTGACATTCTAGAGCAGCGTTTCCCAAACCTCTCCTGGAGGACCACTTGTCCTGCATGTTTTAGACCTCTCCCTGCTCCAACACAGCTGATTCAAATGATCAACTCCTTATGAACTCCTGAAGCTGCTTAATAACAAACTGATCATTTAAATCAGCTGTGTTGGAGTGGGGAGAGATCTAAAACATGCAGGACAAGTGGTCCTCCAGGAGAGGTTTGGGAAACGCTGTTCTAGAGCAGTGTTTCTCAACCCTACTCCTCATGGCACCCTGTCCTGCATATCTTCTATCTATCCTTGCTGCTTGATTAAATCAGGTGTGCTCAGCTAATAAAATGTGCCACTGATGAGTTCAGTCAGGAAGGTAGAGCAAGGATAGACAGAAGATATGCAGGACAGTGTGCCGCCAGGAGTAGGGTTGGGAAACACTGTTCTAGAGCATTGCTACAGCAGTAGTTGGCATGTGCATTTACCCCACAGTGTGTCAATCAGGGGTACTTCAGTGAGTCATCTGGGGTCCTTGCTATCAAGGTAAATAATCATAATCATGGATAATAATCATAAATAATAGCAACACTGGCAAGGCAGGTATTATGAAGGGCTGCATTCAGAACAACCAGGGTGAGGTTGCAAACCAGTTTTCACTGTCTCATTCAAAACGTCTATGTGGATGAGAATTTAATGTTGTTTTCAATCAGTCGGTATTTAGATGATTAATCTTATCCAGAGATTTCAGTGGTGAGGCGATGACTCCGCCCTCATCCTGCCGGCGTCATCCCGATTTCGCGCTCACCCCCTCCTGTTCCTCTCTCCAGCGGGCCGGAGCGCTATGACTGGACGGGCGAGCGATGGGTGTACACGCATGACGGCGTCTGCCTGCACGAGCTGCTCTCCAAAGAATTCTCTGCCATTTTCCACTCTAACATGGACCTGTCACATCTGATTCATTCCTGACCGAAAGTTGGAAGAAAGAATGTTCTCATTTTTACAAGAAAAAAAAAACTTTCCCTAAAAGATTAGCATTTGACATACCCCTGTTGTGAAAGCCATACAAAAAACCCAAACACTGTACAATCAGTTTCTGTGACTGAGGTGTACACTATCTGTAGAAGTTGTAATTTAATACAGTGATTGAAAAAAGCAGTCGGATTAAACTACTATGACAGATAAATGTATGTAATTGATCCAATTATAGGTAATATTACTTAAAATTACTACTTGTTCATTCATGTGAGTGTTGAGATTTTTTTTACATGGAAATGGAACGCAGTTTCCTGATGCTATAATGGTATAGTGTTGTAGCCATCATTTCAGCCACGATCGACTTATTACAATACAGGATCTATAAGTGTCTTCAGGGTTCACCAAGCAATTGCCAGTTGAAGATGCCATTAACTGTCAGCGAATGGCACGTTTTTCACATCCAGTACCTGCTCAACACTTTGACACAGCTTCTTTCTAGTTGATAGGTTCAGTTAAATCTGTTCTTTCGCCCCCGGAAGCCGGTATTTGCGTCTCCGTAACGGCTTTCCTTAAACCGTGCACGTGGATCATATTCCGCACATTCGGCGGATTATGGAGTACAGATGGACAGAAGATTTTGTCCTTAAGCTTGTGTCTGTTTATCCAGGGGTCGCACTTCAACTCACGTTTCTTTTCTCATATTTTACGTGTAGCTGAAAAAGTGCTTTGAAGTTTATATGTGTATATACTCTACTAAAAGTCCTCAATAAAGATGTTATGACTCAGAGATTGTATCTGTGTAAATAACTCGAATGAAAATAAAGACAACATTCAAACCTATTAGGTTTGTCTTTTGTGGAGATGCTTACTATATATATATATATATATATATATATATGTGTGTGTGTGTGTGTGTGTGTGTGTGTGTGTGTGTAACTTAGAAAGTGTGACACGTTGAAATAACGCTCTCTTTGATCATATTGAGTTGGTGATGCGTCCCACAGGTAAGGTATTTCATTGAACGATACAGTGGTAGGGTTTGCCGAGCAAAGGTTGCTGCTTTGATTCCTTGGTGGGTCAGTGCTGTTGTTCCATTGGCAAGACACTCAACCTGAATCATAAATGTCTAGCTGTATGATGAACATGAAGATATTTAGGCTGAGCAGCTAAGCAGATGTAATGGTTCATGTAAAGGCTTTGGTGAATGGACTGCAGAAATTGTTAACCTAGTTGACAATATTAAATACCATCTGCAAATAAAGTTGCTCCATGATAAATCCGTGTTGTTTTCTTATGTAGCGACCCTACCTGGAGAGAAATATTGAGTGTTAGGTGTGTACATAGAAAATAACCTAGACTTGGATACAATCTGTTACCTACACCGTATATGCAGTAATTGTTAATCTGCACAGTATTGTCTTTATCTTAAGCATGAACTTGGGTGAATCTTCTCCCAGCCACAAGTCACTTGTATTCGTGTATCCTTCACCATTCGTGGCCATCGTCATGGAGTACTGTAGTTTAACATAAAAGGCTTTTAGAGACAAGAAAACAAGTTTCTATGGGAACGGCGTGGGGCTGATATTGGATGTCATAGGCAACCCACTGCCTAGATTTACTAAACCACGGATGCTGTTGTTCCCTGGAACCCACAGAAATACTTACGAAGCCTGGAAAACCGGCTTTACTGCTTATTTCAGCAGAGGACAGGTCTCTGATGGTAGGCTACATACGACGTCACAACCTCTCAAAGACAACCGTAAACACAAAGGCACTGCTGAATGCACTATGTATTTGAACAAGCTCACACCTGCTTCTAAGCCAAGTGAAACCAAAAACCGGCAAATGGTCACAGTGAGTATACTAGCCTACTGTTGTTGCTTGTTCAAAAGGTAGCCTCTGTAGTGCCCTTGCAATGCAATGCCACAAACACATTGAACGTCGTGTGTAGTGATGTGGACTTACAATGGACTTGACGTACTGGTTAAAAAACGTTACTACTTTCGTTCTCACACCTGTTGTCACAAGGAATAGGACACCTGCGGTACCAAAGACACGCCCCTATACCTGTTCCAGGAATCCTGGGATTTTTTGTGAAACCTCGGTGTCATCGTGTCAAGGTATCACCTGGAGTGTCCTGGTTTTGAACCGATGAATATATTTTCCGGATAAGAGGACCAGTCAAACTCCATACAGCTAAGGTTAGTTCATTGACATGGCTCGATATTATAGCGCGTTTGTCCGTAAGTGTACAACGGCTCCGGCGGTGTCGAGTTTTGAGGTGTTGTCTGGCTGTGCTGTTCTTCTCGACTGTTTGATAGCCTTGCGTTATATAACCACATATCATAACTGTGCCGTACCAATCAAGTGAGATTTTTTTTAGCGAAATCGTGGCCTCTTTTGCGATATATATTTTAACAGTAAATCGTCGGTTGTATGATAAGTTTCTTTGTAGACAGGTTCAAAGTCGAGAAGTTCAGGTCGGGTCAGGCATGCTCTGTGGTTTTCGACTATCCTTGTTACCCGTCATCCCATGCTTCATAACCAAAAGGCCTTCCTAATTAAAAGAAGCTGAAATAATCAGGAAAAAAAATTTGTCTTAAACCAGCCAGTACTGAGTTTTATACTTACTATTATACTTTTAGAAATTAGTGAACATAACTCTCATTGTAAGAAGCACGAGTGTTTGTTGTGAATGAGGGCGAGAAGGATGTTGAAATGTTGTTTATTTTGC